TGTTACACCAGGAGCAGTCAGTCCAGGTTCTTTCACGCCACCAGTCACTTCTGCCGTCAGCCCCTACGGACAAGGAAGGAGAGGGTCGTGTTTTGCGTGTGGGTCCTTCGGTCATTGTAGGAGAGATTGTCCCTACACTAAAACACCAGGAAGTGCACCAGGATTCTCAAAAACCAATCGTCCATGATTTTGTTAAAGATGAGTATTGTTTTGATGTGAAATATGATAAATTATTTTTTACTATCGATTATTTTGAGCATGAGCAAGGCAATGTAGATACCTGGGTTAAAGGCAGGCTAAGAAGTAAATTAGCATTTTGGAAAAGTATTGGCACACATGAATTTATTCTTGATGATTTAGAAAATGGATACAAGTTTCCTTTTTTCTCTATACCCGCATCAGTTCGTTTGAATAACAATAGATCTGTTATTTTGGATAGTGCATTTGTTGAGCAGGCAATACAAGATTTATTGGTCAGAGGCTTTATTAGTGAGTGTTCAGATATATCTGCTGAAGTTAACCCCTTACAGTGGCCATTAGCAGTAGTGGTAAAAAGCGGTTAATTTTAGATTTGCGGCATGTTAATAAACATCTTTGGAAATTTTCAGTAAAATTTGAAGAAATTTGTAATGTTTTATTTAAAACGGAGTTTTTGTTTTCAAATTTGATTTACATTGTGTATATCATTACATTGATAATTTTGAGTCTAACGCTAATTTTTAAAGGGTTTTTTTTTTTTTTTTGGAAATTTGGAAATACATTTGGTCTCAGTTCGGCTTACTATATTTTTACTAAAGTGACCAGGCTGCTGGTTAAAAAGTGGCGAGGAGAGGGCAATAAAGTGGTTATGTATTTAGATGATGGTTTTGGTTGCCATTCGCAGTACAGCGATTGTGAGAATGTTGCTTTAAATTAAGCAAGATCTTATCAACAGCGGGTTTGTTCCTAAAGTTGAAAAATCAACGTGATATCCTAGTACTGAGATTTAATTTTTAGGGTATAATTTGAATTTAGAGAAAAGCACTTTATGCATTCTGATAACAGACTTCTTATAATCTGTTAGACTATAACGGATATTCGTTCTCTGTTTAGAGGAAAAGGCAGCATTCATGTGTGTTGAGTTGCTAGTTTAGTAGGTCAGATCATTTCTGTGTCTTTTGTTATTTGCAATATTGTTTATATTATGACAAAATGTCTGAGTTTTGATATTTCTAAAGCTAAATGTTGGAATGAACAAATTGTTTTGAGCATAAACAGTACGAAGCAAATGGAATTTTTGGTATCTAATGTATGCAAGATTTCTGTAAGTATATGCAGATCAAATCAGCATATTAGTAGACTATGATGATTGGGAGGTGGCAGATAGTATTTTCGATTATTTAGATTCAGTCTGGGGGCCGCATGAAATTGAATTTTTCTTGTATCCGATCATAACAATAAATTGCCAGTTTTTAATTCTAGATATTGGACTCCTGGTGCGGTGGGCACTGATGCATTTACTGTTCATTGGGGTGGTATGAATGGTTGGTTTGTGCCCCCGATGTGTGTATTATCTAGAGTTATACTGTCTTTAATTCAATGCAAGGCTTGTGGCACGGTTATTTTGCCTTGTTGGCACTCAGCTAGTATTTGGCCTTTATTATCTAAAGGCAGGTTTTTATAAAGGAAGCTGTAGCATATGTAGAATTACCGAGAGAAAAAGCTTGTTATGTTCCTGGAGGTTTGTTTGGTAGAGTAGATTTGCCGTTTAAAATGCTGGCAGTCAGATTTGATTTTTCTTAATAAATGAGTGGTTTTAAATTACTTATTAATTTTTTGTCTTTGCAGGCTTATAAGGATGACATTTCTGAGCTTCCTGACGAGTTGGCTGGTAAAATGCCATTGGTTGTTGGATTTTTTGTCTGAGAGTCGGTCATCGAACACAGTCAAGGGTTATTATTCAGCTTTCATGCGATGGAAATTATGGGCGAAGAAGAACGGCAATCAAGGGAATTTTCCGGCAAAAGGTTTTCCTGTTGCTTTGTACTTGTCGTGCTTAGCAGAACAGTCCAATTCTTCTAGTCCTGTTTATCAGGCTTTTTACAGGCTTAAATGGGTTTATGCCATTATAAGCGCAGTCTTCTACAGACTCTAATTTAGTAAAAATCGTGTTGGAAGGTATATAAGAGGTGCAAGTCACAGCCAGTTTGCATAAAGGAGCCTAATCTCCAGATATTTTGGAAAAATGTTTAAGGCAAATTATGAAGAAGGGAATGTGTATTCTCAATGTGCTATATGTGCTGGCTTGCTTTTTTATGCAGGCTTTCTTCGAGTTTTAGAGCTGTTAAATTTAAGGATTAGCGATATTTCGTTTCATGATTCATACATGTCAATTTTTATTGAAAAGAGCAAAACGGACATCTATAGAGATGGTTCTCGTATGGTTATTGCTAGAACTTATTCAAAGCTTTGTCCTGTTAAAAATTTAGAGCAATTGTTCTCTTATGTGAATCTTGAGCATTCGGATTTGTATCTTTTTAGATCTGTCACCAAGCACTTCAATTGCTATCGTTTTAGAGATGATGATAAGCCTATTTCATATACTAGAATGAGAAAAGTATTTATTTCCTCTTTTTCTCCTCTTGTTAAAGATATAAAACAATTTGTTTTACATAGTTTGAGAGCAGGTGGTGTTACTGCTGCCGCAAGAGTTGGTGTTCCAGACAGGTTATTTAAAAGACATGGAAAGTGGAGTTCGGTAACGGCTAGAGATGGCTATGTGACAGATAATTTCTGACAGATTTTTTGTTAGTAAAAAATTGGGTCTTTAAAACTAAAGATTCCCGTTCTTTGTTTTCGACTCGCGCGCTAACTGCGTCCATATGCACTTTATATCTTGTTTGTGTTGTTTTATTATTAATGTTATGCAGTGTCGGTTATGGTCTAGGAGAAATATAATTCTATTCGGTTGAACGAAGTGAATAAGAATGGAATTATTTTCTCCTAGGGGGCGACACTGTATATATTGTGTTAGTTGTGATACTGGTAAGAATTGTGGGTAAGTTACGACAGTTGTTCATTCGACCTGTTAGCGCAGACCAGTTGACACGTAAATTTTTATTTTTCAAATTTTGTTTATGGTTTTGTTGTTTTAATTCGATTAGTACATGTGATTCATTTTGTTTTATAACTACATTGGTTATTGCTGCAATGGCTATTTTTATTCAATGTTTTTTGTTTTCAAAATAAGTATGGTGTATGTTGTGTTAGAGTGTACACTGTAGGCGTACAGTGTGCATGGGTGCGTGTTTGGAGGTGCGATTTATGTTTATTAATATATAAATTTAATGATTGATTTATATGAGCTGTTTGGGAGGTAGTTTTGCACTTGTGTAGTGGAGAGATGAGTTCGGAGGAGGTGTTTGGGAGGTGGTCTCTGGTGATTTCCTATGTATGGAAGAAATGAGATCGGAAGTGCTTGGGTTGTGATATTCTGTTAAATCCCTATGTAAGGGAAAGATGAGCTCGGGAGAGCTGTTGGGATGTTATATCCTTATGATTCCTTAAAAATGGAAAGGTGAGCTTGGAAACTGTTTGGATGTGATATCCTGGTGATTCCCTATGTAAAGGAAAGATGAGCTCGAAAGAGGTGTTTGGGAGGTGGTCTCTGGTGATTTCCTATGTATGGGAGAAATGAGATTGGAAGTGCTTGGGTTGTGATATTCTGTTAAATCCTTATGTAAGGGAAAGATGAACTTGGGAGAGCTGTTGGGATGTTATATCCTTATGATTCCATAAAAAGGGAAAGGTGAGCTTGGAAGAGTGGTTTGGATGAGATACCCTGGTGATTCCCTATGTAAAGAAAAGATGAGCTCCAAAGTGCTGTTTGGGGTGTGATATCCCGGTGATTCTCCAGGTAAGGGAAAGATGAGCTCGGTAGAGCTGTTTGGGATGTGATATCCCGGTAATTCCCTAGGTAAGGGAACGATGAGCTCGGAAGAGCTGTTTGGGATGTGATATCCCGGTGATTCCCTAGGTAAGGGAAAGATGAGCTCGGAAGAGCTGTTGGGATGTGATATCCCGGTGATTCCCTGGATAAGGGAAAGATGAGCTCAGAAGAGCTGTTTGGGATATGATATCCCGGTGATTCCCTAGGTAAGGGAAAGATGAGCTCGGAAGAGCTGTTGGGATGTGATATCCCGGTGATTCCCTAGGTAAGGGAAAGATTAGCTCAGAAGAGCTGTTAGGGATGTGATATCCCGGTGATTCCTTTTTACATATAAAAGGACGAGATGATACAGAGGTTTGGTGAGGAGAGGGTCTCCTCGTGTTTATAATTTATTTATTGAATTATTTATTTATATTGTTTGTAAATGATTGAAGATGGTTTGAAATAAAACTCGTGCGCTAACTGCGTCCATATGCACTTTATATGTTGTTTGTGTTGTTTTATTATTAATGTTATGCAGTGTCGGTTATGGTCTAGGAGAACAGAATAAATTAATTGAAAAATTCGTGCCATAATCGGGATTAAATTTCAAATTGCAGTCAGACTATTCCGAATGAACTTCAAATGCCGTACGAGTGTGGTTTGACTGCTGGCCGAATAGAGGCTAAAGTATGTAAGAAGGTGCCTCGAAAAATATATGAAGCTAACTCAAATGCAGTCAACTGCTCCCGGTATGGCTGTCCATGATGGTTTGAAATATTAAAACAAGGCAGCAAAGCTGTCAAATGTACAGACAAAGAACAGAAAATAAAGATNGATGTGATATCCCGGTGATTCCTTTTTATATGTAAAAGGAAGAGATGATACAGAGGTTTGGTGAGGAGAGGGTCTCCTCGTGTTTATAATTTATTTATTTAATTATTTGTTTATGTTGTTTGTAAATGATTGAAAATGGTTTGGAATAAAACTCGTGCGCTAACTGCGTCCATATGCACTTTATATGTTGTTTGTGTTGCTTTATTAATAATGTTATGCAGTGTCGGTTATGGTCTAGGAGAAGATTTGTTCATGTGCAAGATTATTATGTTTATACATGCAATAAACGCTTAAAATGATAATACGAAATTATGCAATATGAAATTATGTGTGCAACCTGAATTGCGGTTCCAAATGGGTTCCAAAGGCGCGATAGTAGCCTACGTTAGGCATCTTGTGACTGAATAATTAAAACATTCACTGAATAATTTACACATTATGCGCAAGAGAAGGTGACCGTACGTATTACAACAGGTCAAAGAAAAAACATAACAAAATGTCTAATTATACGACAGGCATAAGAAACTTGGAAAAAATCATCAGCCAGAACGTCATGGCACCATCAGCTCTTGTGGCTCCTCCTGTTGATGGGTGAATAGGCCATTTACACATCTGATCAAAATCGCACGTGTCTGCGGCTTTCCCTACAGAGCCCATCAGTGTTTCGATGTCACAAAACACGCCATTGCATCCGGGGAACGTGGTCTCGCGTTCGTTCACATGCATTTTAAATTTGTGGGCGTTTCCACATTTGTAGATGACAAAGTTTATGTTGGATGCCATTGGGTCTATGTAACTTGTTCTGAGTTTTCTGTTCCCTTGGGAGAGGAAGTTGTCAGCTGTCAATGGTCTTGAATCCTTGAAGAGCCCTAAATTTGCGTAGAATGGCACAATTGTCGGCGAATGCCCAACTCGAATAACAACTTTGGTAAAATTGTCTTTCGTTGTCGCATTCCTGCAATAAATAAATAAATGAAATGAAATAAACGGGTTTAACATGTGTTTTAGAAAATTATATGGCGGTGGATATACTGCACAAGTAGAATTGAAAGCTTTGTACACTCAAAGTCACATGATAGCTAGGTCTTTTTACCTCAGCATTAGCTAGTGAAAACGCGTCAATGTATAGGAAACTAGGCCTACTGGTGACATGGATTAAACTTGATTTAAAAACAAAAATGATCACCGAGAATTACAAAGACTTTTATTTAAATAGCGTTGACATAGATGAACAAAAACTGTAAAAACTGCTTTGAAAAAATTGAAAAATGTGAAAGTTGGGGGATACTGCAAAAGTAGGCTTATCAATAACTTTAATTTCAGTGTAGGCTAATGGGTTTCTCTGTAATGTTTATATTGTGAAGTTAAGATATGCTTATTTTACCTAATTGATCCGATGAAATCTTTCAAAAGAGGGCAGGCCTGTTCATAGCTGAGCTTATGTCCGTAAGAGTTTTTATAATAATAAGCTAGGTCGGTTCTGTATTCAAATGCCTTCAGGTCGTCTTGACTAAAAACCGAACACCAGGGAGCAGCACTGGAATTTTTGACGGTACTGTCTTGAGTCAAGCCATATATGGCATATTCACTGGCGCAAGCGAGCCACAAGGACTGCGACACGGCTGAAATTGGAATCCTACATATCATTTTGCAGTTTTGACTGAAAACGGGAATTTTAATTACTGGTATTATCGCTGTCTTTTGTACTTATAATCATGACAAAATAATTTTGAGAAACACATGTAGGCCCTACTGTACATGATAATAAAGAATTATTTTTATATTACCGCTGACGAGAAGTTCTATTTTTTATTAGCTCCAATAGTCATAAGCTACGTCCTCTAAATCTACACCAAAAAGACGACAAATTTTACTTACAAATGTTCATGTTTTGTCTCAGTCCAATCCTCCTTGATATGTTAGCAATAACTTCCGACATTATTGAGCCGTTGTCAAATTTGTCTAGTTCCGCAACAGGCTTGCTCCTTATGGTCTGCAACACAGAAAATACAGTGACAAAAATTATCACAAAAATAAACAAATGAACAAAATATCCTCATTGAAGTCTTATATCGAAGAGCGTTTTGTTTCACTACTAATAGGCCCGAATTTGTAACTCAGCAGCTCATTCGGACTTTAGGGGTTTGCAAATTCATTTTTTTTTTTTGACATAACATCACCATAGACTGAGCAAAAGTGTACATTAGCTTGGTAGCTGGATCATAAGTGAAAATTATCAAACACAAACAGAAATATTTTCATACCGTTAGCTTACAGCCAACCTGGGCGAAGGCCTTCATCAGAATGATGTGAGTAGATGTTGACATCTGTATTCGGCTTGTGTTTGATTATTTTCATTCATGATCACCATTGACTATTGGGAATGTACCTTTTTGTATCTCTCGCAGGCATCAAAGAATCGAAGCAGACGGTCATTTGTCGTTGGATACACGGTCATCGGTATTCTGTTGACAAGCGCCTCCAGTTCTTGGTCGGTCATACCTGGTGGACAAAAACGTGAAATATATGTGTTGTACTGAAGACACAAACGCGTTACCACTTCATATATACTTACTGTAGAATCTAGGAATCATATTGTTTTCCATGAATACATCACTTAGAGTTTTCTGCCCTGAATTTAGTTTTAAACTTCCGTTCTAAGAAAGATTGTAGTTTTGGCTTGTTGCTAGATGATACGCTCTTAGTTAATTCGTTTGGCTTTCTAATGCCACATGTGGTCAAACAGAGGCAAGACTGTTGTTTGATTGAAAGGCACATTATATCGTATTAGTCAAACAAAGGCTCCAGGTTTATGGACTGCAATTTCAAAGAGGGCTTTTTTTTCAGAGCGAATGGACCTTGTTAACCCATTCGTTGACCCAACTTGAGAATTGCATAAACTTGGGTCAAATATTGCTTCAGATCCCTATTCCACCCAAATGATCGGTTCTTTCTAACTCCCCCGACCTCCCCTTCGAGCTCCCCCTCACCTACGGGCCTTTAGTCTACTATCTTACCTGGTTGCTTTAACAATCCCTTTGCAAACGACTTGGCACTCTCTCGGGTCCGCTCAGTGTCTGTATGTCGGAAGTGGAAGGATGCAAGCATGTCGTCGATTGAAACGTTCAGCAAAGTTGGGTACTTAATCCGGAAGTTTTTAGCTGAAAATATTGTGACAAAGTCAAAGATGGAATATTTATCATGATATCAATCTGATTTTGTTATACGAGGGACAAGGAATCTTAAGTAAAAAGAAATAAATAATTTGGTCTTATCGAAGGTTAGGCCAACTATACGTGTGTAATTTAAACAGAGTTGCACTTAAGTATGATTAATACTCCTAACTAGAAACAAAAAATTTGCGTTTGGCATGCGTTTTTCTTGTGTTTATAATGATTACCAATACGCATCATTTCTTCATAGCCGGTCATGACCAATTTAGAACCATCGCTTGGATCCATTCTCGGTTTCCAGTCTCGCAGCGCCGCGAGATCTCCGGCACAGAACTGGTTAGATACTGGAAAGCAAAAACGCCTGGATTGCTTATTGTAATATTTGTTAAAGAAACAAAGAAAATTATTTAGCTAAAAATAAAAGTCATGTAGATTGGTTTTTCATGACGCACTCCCCAAGTTCAACTTTCAGAAAATCGCGTCAGATGTTTTGGCTTTACTTTGTAATACTTTTTTTGTTCTAGAAAAACGAGGTTTATATATGAACGAAAATTTTTAAAAGAAAGTCAATAATTTAACTTGTTCATGAAATGTGAAATTTCGACTGTTTAAGTTGAAGCGAAAGAGATCTGTCGGGTTTAGCATGAAATAAAAAGAACGCACCTATTAAATTTCTCTTAATGAAACAGGTGCCACATCCACCCTCCAGTTACGTCATTTTAAGTGTTTGGTAAGTTTTAATTGGTAATGATTTCCTCTAAAATAGACATTTACCTGTAGTATTGGCAACAATGTTGTCCCGAAATACTGGCAGTAAGGCATTAAAGAGTTCTATATCGCTGTCTGCAGGGTAACGGTATCCATGGCGAAGCAGATGCCAGATCATTACAGGGTAGCAGTCTGAAAGGGATGCATTTCAGTTTTTATGACATCGAAAAAAATACTACTTGGATTAAATGAACCTAATTAACTTTAAACTGAGGATTTTATCGAAATATCTGGGAAATTTACCCTAGGTTCTAGAATCCGGTATTGCCAGCTCGATCTTGATATCATATATAACCCATAGTAGCAATACCAGTAAAAGCGACTCCACCAAAAGGTATATTTAGCAAGCTAGCTTTTACGTTGCTCTGACACTCAGGGTAGGGAAATTAAGAAACCAACAAAATATTGCATGTTCATGCCCTCGTACCTGTCTGTATTCGCTACATGGTAAGCACCTACTTGAAAAACAACCAATATACAATCTGGATTAACATGACCAGAATCTTATACATCCTTATAATTACTAGAGCATAATATTATTGTGTCCCAGACTCTATTTGCCTTGAACCCAGAGTGTAAGGGCTCATTCCCCTCGAAACTATCGTCCTAGGTAGATCAATTCAATTAACTCTGCATGGACTTTCGCTGAATGTAATCAAATTAATAGATAAACACGCCTCCTCCTGCGGTTTAGTAAACACAGAAAATAAACTGCTGGTGATTATACGAGTACAATGGAAACAAGAGGAGTTGTACGTGTTAATATGTTAATCTGATTGCATTCAGCGAATATCTCCTCGTAGTTGGATCAATCTACGTAGAACGACAATTTCATTATGAATGAACCCCAACTTGCGACTCATTGCGAGGATCAAGGCCATTTCCTTGATGAAAAACGCTTTCTATAGATTTGTAAAAATAGCATAATGTAGTTAATGGCACTTGACTGGTAAGGTAACTCCTTTGTTACATGAAAAACATATACCCTGATGTCTGCTTCCGTGTAATTTTTATATTCTGTATGCGGATACATACACGTGTGCAAAATACATATACCAGTACTATAACTTGGTCTGTCGCGCCTACTCTCGATGCGAACGCCGGCCCAGCCCTTAAACTACGTGCCAACTTCTGGATTTGTCATTGTACAGAGGGTGGGAGGGGTACAATATCAACCCCCAGTTTCTGAATTCTAGACAACATACTTATCAGACTAATACTCTTTTATGTGCTTGTAGCATATCCCTGAATAAACTACTTCCAAGTGCACCTGAAGCCAATGTCTCTTTGCAAGAATGTACTGTTTTGGTATTGGAAATAAATGAATTCGTGTTTTTTGACTACCCTCTACCAGGGCGACAGATTGATTTTTCACAGATATTCAAATATATGTCTGTAGATAAATAGACAGTCATTTGGCTCTCTGGCTTTTTTTCCCCATTTTTCCCTATATAATCTGCCACCCTGCTAGAGGGAAGTCTTTGACCTGGTTAATTGACATTACCTGCGTCCACGGTGTCACTTCTCCCCGTGTCCGTTCCCCCTGTCACCGCTGGTATCTCGGCGTATGCTGATTTGGTGCTGTACCGTCGATAGGGATTGGGGTCCGACGTGTAGCACGGTATCTGACCGGCGCCCACACAATGACAAAAGCATACCAGGCCTAAAACAAGCACGAGCAAACAGGTTGTAAGTCTCCTGTGTCCGGACATCGTCACGTCATGCAGGACCACCGTCACCGGCAGAGTCAATTGCTTGTATGGTAACAAGAAGTCTTAGAGAGAGACAGCAAGTACTTGTGTTGTTCCCTGCGTGGTTGACACAACTTCTAGTTCTAGTTTTCTATTTCGGTGTTTTTAACGCGGAGTAAATAAACTTGACCTACATCCCACACGATGTATCTGCATAGTGCACGGTGGCCTTTTTTAAGATGACTTTGCAGCAAGTTTCTCGATACTCACGGAGAATATATAAGTTTAGGTGGTGTTAATAAAAAACGTGAAACTGTACCCGAGTCAAACCGTGTAGTAGTTAGAACAACACCGTAAGGTGCACTAGGGATTGGTTGTAATATCGTACGATGTAGGGTTATGTTTTCGTTACTTCAGCTGAGCATGACTCATAGCATTATCATGTGCAGATCACGACAAAACGAAATTTGTTTTTTATTTGTTCATTATATTTGGCTCCACGAGCAGTCAAGCAGTAAATAAACCTTGGCACTATAGAACTGAGAATGCATATGAAATGACAGGCGGCCCTTTTTAATTGAGGGGTAGTGAACTACACGTGATGCAGGTCGTGTCGCGTAACTTTTAGAGAATGGCAACTTCTTGAATTTTACGTAATTTAATCACGTAAAAGGTCGCCTAAACGGAGCAACATATCGCTCGACCGGCCATTTAATCAACTTCCACTCAACAGTAAGAGGCAACCTTGTGAAAGCGAGCAAATACATTAAGGCATTACTATTACACGTACAGTAGCCCTACCTCTCAAAGTTAGGATAACCAAGAAAAAATGCACATCGCAATTGTCGCAGTTATAGTGATGCGTAGCATAAGCTTTTCTTTAGAAAAAATCACTATTTACTTATTTTAAGTTTCATTTGCGACTAATTAGCCTTTAATCCTCCTTTTTCTGAAACCCGATGTAGCTCTGTTTCAAACTAGGAAAATAAAACAGTCCTAAACCCATGCCCAAGCGATGGTTATTTCATCGCTATGGCCCTGTAACAGAAAATAGGATACTTCCTCCGCTTACCAACATAAATCTCCAAAACAGTGTTGGAATCCTTACTTATTTCAACCAAGACTGCTACAGCCTGCTGTACATCAAACTTTTGTGATAAACTTTTGGAAGTTTTAGAAGAAAACTCACTAAACATGGCACTGTCCAGACCAAAAAGGTCTGTAAAAACTGTGAAGAATCCCGACTTTCTATATGACTCTGAGCTATCACCACTAAAATCTCCCTCACAAAATAGTCAAGACACAGCAAAGGAAATGTTTCTAAACCCTGAGAAGCTGTACTTTGATCATCAAACAAGGTTACAAGCAGGGATAGAAGAAAAGGTCATTTGCAATGCTAAATTTCACTCAACAGACTGAATGACTGGAAAACGACATCAAAAGAGTACTGTCAAAGGAAATATGAAAACATGGAACTCTCATCTCCACCAATTCATCAGGAAACAGATTTTCAGGTTTTCACCTGAAAATGATCACGAGAGATGATGATGGAGTTGACAGTACATATGCTGTCATGAGTTTCTACGTCAGCAGGGGCATAATTGTTATCAATGGAGCTCAATGTATGAACTGGGTCTCAAATGATTTTCCACGACTGAGACTACTTATGGAAGAAGAGGCTAAATATACCAGAAAAAAGAGCATGATAGCAGATGCAGATAACCCCTGTATTCCTACCTGTAGTATTCCCATTGAAACACCGGTGAGAAGCGATGAAACTACTACCTCAGAGACTGAGCTTTCATTTCATACCAAATCCAAGACCTGGATGACTTTGACGACATTGAGTACAATGAAATAGAAAATGTCACCCTGGTTACAAACAGTCCCCATTTGGCAGTAAGGAAATAAATGAAAATAGCCAGCAAAGGGAAGAAATACGGCAGAATTTACTGCTTGCAAAACAACAAGAAGAAAGGGAGGCTGAAACATTAAAATTGAAAAAGGAAAATGAGAAACTCCACAAACAAATCCATGAAATGCAGAGCAAACTGGATACGATAACATCTTCCGCGCTAGAATTGAAAGCATGGAAACTGAAATTGAAAATGAAACACGGAAAAAAAGTGAGATAGAAAACCTACACACTGCTATAGACAACAGGGGAACGGTTCCCATACAGACCTCCAACAGATTTGCCCCCCTCCAGCACCAACAAATGACTTGGAGCTCAATTGCACGTGGAAACCGTCAGCAGCCACAGCAGCCACAAACCCCTACCAATCCCACCACAAGGAGCACCCAGCAATGTAAGCACACACTTAAAAATGTTAATTATAGGAGACTAAATGATGCGCAATGTAAGCAACAAAATTCAGGCAGAAAATACTCAGATCCACTCCACAACATATCTCCACTCAGATGCTACCTTAGAAAAAATTACAAACAAAGTATCTAAATACTTACTAAAGGAAAGCATCAATTCAAATGAGTTTAAATCACTTTTAAGGCTTTGGGAAGGACCCAAATGCAGATGTAGCCTGTGTAACCTACCGGTAGGTAAAAGTTGTAGCATCGTATATATTGCAGGGCATTGTCAATCACTAGTATAGCGTAAAATAACCTGCGGCACTGGTGTGACAAACTGGTTCTTGACAATCACATATTAGACACTGATTACGTTATAGCACTAGTAGTGGGCTCTTACAGTCAGTGCCCAGGTGAATGAAAAATAAAGGGACTCCGCACAACGGGGATGATCACATCTCTATTCTATACTAGATGCAAATGGTGAAGAAAAACAGCAACTGTTCACCTTATCTCAACAAAAGCATTCATTGTGCCCTTTAATGATATATTATGCTATATTTCTAGATGTGAATGAGAGTATGTGTGAGAGTATGTACAGTGTATGTGCATGAAAGCGCAAAAAAAAAAAAAAAAAGATACGTATGTAATTATTAGTAGAAAACAAGAAACACACAAATATTATGGATATATATACAGTAGTATATAGACAGACGACGTACATTTCTATTTAAGCTGTCGTTATCTCCTTCATGCAGGTTGACAGCACCTCTTCTCCTTTAGAGTAGTTTTTGATATTTGTCTTTAAAAGTAACTGTGAGTTATATAAAGATCGGTATTTTAAATTGCAGGGGTTTATCATCAGACCCGATAAAGAGAAAGGACATAAGTAGTATAGTATCAGGCTGACAGTTCTTAAAAAGGATTCGCCCTGAATGGCCCTCTAAATATGTTTTTTTCTTCCAAAAATAAAGATAATTAAGTTTTTTTGTGTTTTAAAGGGAGATGTTTATATTGGTAAAAACAGGTTTATACACAAGTTGTTGAAAGATAGTTTTTTTTTAGTTTTGAATTGGAACAAAAGCCGTGCATTTTTTTATTGACCTAAAAGAGAGATGGCACGCGGCTTAGTTGAACGCGTTACACAAAGGTAAACAAACAAGGGTCCGCTGAGTATTGTAATTCATTAAGAGAGAGGTATATGCATTGCATTCATGATTTCATGCTTAAGTTCGCGGATCCGTCCGATTTCCAATATTGTGAAATGGACACAGATCCCGCCTAAATTGCCTTTTTTGGCAGATAGCTTGGAAGCCGTAATAAAACCTGATATGCGTGAACAGTACGAAGAAGAAAAACATCTTTGGTTTCCTCGCACTTATACGCCAGAAAACGAGGCATACGACAAACGAAAGCCCGGGTTATTTAAAGCCGAGTGGACTGGCGACGGTACATGTAGGGTAGTGGTACAGGCAGTGCTGCATAACTTTTAGAGAAAGGCATCTTCATACATTGTACGTAATTTAATTAATGGTCTCTTGCTCAAACTTTGTCACTCAATAAGGGGTACCGGAGGAGACGAGAATTTATCAGAATTGTGCCGGAAGTGACGTGTAGTGGTGTAAGACGTGAAGCTGAGTGGTCATTTTTAGCTGGAGGTGAACGGGAGTAAAGTCGTGGACTCGGAGAAAAAAGCAGTTATTCTAACAACACGGTAAGATAACAATTTATCTTTATGCATTTGGGGGAGAGTACACTTGTAGAAATAATAGGAGCATGGTATTGTTGCGTTTCTTTATTTCACTGTTCGAAACACAATCGGTATGTAAAGTAAAAACAAATGCTGCCACCATCTATCAGTTGTAAGTCTTCTTTATTTCTCCTGACAACTGAAAGTTTTCTTGTACAAACTTCAGGCTAAACTAAGGCTGTAAATCTCTAACTGCATAACTCTAAAACTAACTGTAAAACAACCTTCTTCTATCCCGCTCCCGCTCCTCTACACTATTCAACTATCTTCGACTGTTATGTCGCTTCCCCATATATATATATATATATATATATATATATATATATATATATATATATATATGCCACAGAAGCTCAAGCGCATGCAGCCCGCCCTGTTCCCCATTGACGGAAATTTGGATACCACTCAAATCTCCGCAGAGCAGAAATCTGGACAGAGTCCAAATCTGCGGCTAGCAGAAATCTGTCTGGGAGCCAAATCTGCGCTTAGCAGAAAACCAAATCTGCGCCGCTGACCTAGCTAGCGCGTGCCACCGGCGCGTCAATCCTATGTCAAAAACAATTACAGTCGCTGAGATTGAGAACGCAACAGTATAAAAACGTGTCACGAATTTTAAGGGTGAAAAATCGTGCTTAATTTGCAGACAATTTGTTTTGAAATATATGCTGCATCGACCGCCGGCGCAACGAAGAGCGTCAAGGGAAAAATAATTCCCGGGAGGCTATTAATCGTTGTCATGTGGGATTTTTGCATGTATGCAAACTGTTATGCCCACATCTAAGTATTTTTTGGGTGTTTTATGGTGTGTGCTGCAATTATTACGATGTTTTAGAGCCTTTGAAGGACCTTGTAGAAGTAGTTCGCAGCTGACAACTGAACTGTACCGATCCACGACTGCTGTGCAAAGATGTATTTTTTTTAAATTATTGTGACAATTGTAGACGTTTGTATGTCCATCTGACATGAAATTCCAAGCACGACTTCCCAACAATATAATATGTTTGTCCTTGAGCATCTAGGAGTGCATTCCCATGGATTTAGATCGATCCATCTAGATCGACCTAACTCCCTTGGGGTTCACGCTAAATTGCTATCAGCCGAGCGCGCACGGTAGTTAATTACCCCCTTACAGCTTTTAGTAGGCGGGACAGACATTTAAGCCGGCTAAGCTGACAGTAATCTAGTGAGGCTCCCCACAGGGATTGAGTGATCTAAAATCTGTGGGAATGGGGTCTAGAATGGTCTATACTACGTACGTGACTGAGTAAATTCGGCAGGTTCTTATAAGGATGTGACATGTACATTTAGAAAAATGTGTTTCTTCCAAACAGA